AGAGGAGGGGATGGATCATTCGGCAGGGCTAAAGCAGCAGCTGTCAAGGAATTCCAAGATCACTATGGTCCTGAAAGCGCAGAGTCACCGGGACCTGTCAAGAATGGGTTTCACTAGTAATGTCAACTCTTTGATGGGAATGAAGTCATTAAAAAACATGTGTGAAGATTAGGGTTGGTTTTGACCTGAGTCACATGACAAACAAGGCTACAATCTACAGTAATATATTATATAAAACAGTAATAATTATATTATAAATAAACGCAGTGTCAAGTAACTAACTAGACGGGATTCAGAAATCGTTCACCCGCTTGCAAAGGTTCCAAGAGTTTTCAGAGGGCTTCACCTTTGACTGGGACTCTTCTGCCGGACTTTCAATGGAAGAGAAACACGCCCAGTTTCTTCGACATGCCAATCAGTGTTGCAAATCAGTCGGCAAAGCAACTCAACTGGCAGTAAAGTTTACTGCGTAAGTTGATAGTTTTTTTGTGCGTGTGACTGTGTGGTGTTTGTTTATTAATAAGAGTCATTACAATTTGTAAATATTGCAGTACCCTTTTTTTACTTTTCTGGGCAGACCTCCCAGTCCATTGCAGGTGAAAAATCGCAAGTGGTTCTCATTCCTGGTAAGATTCAGGGGACTTTCTGAATCGGTCACAGACGAGAATGACGTCAGTCCTTTGAATATGATCAATGATCCGAAACGGCGTCACACCCACTCTGGCTTTGATCAATGCTGGACTTCTGACCTGAAGCTATGCATCATGGCTACTGACCTGAAGGGGAAGAAGCGTCCTTCAATTGACTTATTGGGAGCAGAGGACTGACTGACTGACTGACAAAACTGTTTAACCAATTATATAATTATTGCGCAAACTTTGGACAAGGGCTCAATATTGAAATGTTTTGTTAAAAGCTTCGTCGATTCGTCAGTCAGGGAAAAGCAACAGCATAATTCACATCAATTTACACATCTTCAATTTATGTTGCCAAACAATCAAGTCAAGTCGGATTGATTGCAGGATGTGCAACGTGTGGACGAAGCACACAAACTGAAGAAACGAGCTTTCGACAGTGGAGCAAATAGCATGGAGGTGTCAGCGTTGGTTCTGCAAAGGAAGGACCTTCACTACAAATGTCGCATGAGACATGGTCTTGCCATTTACAAGTTTGACCATTTGCTGTAATTATGGGGTTGTCAAAGAACTGTTCCCTCGCTCACTATAGCCATGTTTTTGTCAGACCCCTGCTAGCCTGCCCTCGGCTCGGCTCAGGATTGACTATTGTGACAGTCCAATCTTTTTCACCCACTTGCAGTGTTTGCGTCAGTCGAAGCAAACCAGCACAAGCATTCAGTTCCAAGCAGACCGGGCCAACAAGCATTGGGTTGCAACCGAACTTGGAGTTTTGTTTCGGCAGCTTCATGATCCGAGTGTCCTCTTCCGTGTGGGAATAGTGGGCTCCTCCGGTGATTCTTTGGAGCTTCAAGACCGTCGAGCTAAAGACTTTTTTTCGCTGACCATTTGCACTGCTACAGCTCGTTCATGGCATATGATGTCGTACAGTTTGTCATTGCCTGACCAATGGGTTGGCGTGTTGAGCAATGATGATGATGAGTCCTTGGCTGCTATGGCTAGAACACGGGATCTTGCACTTCTGATCCTGGGGGCAGAGGCAGCAGTGAACAATCCGAATCACAATGACAGAGTTGAAGCTTTGCTGCAGCTGCAGATGCTGTTTTGAGTTGTTTCAGGATCACAGACGACAGTCGCAGTTGTTTCGATATGTAACTTACCACAAAGAGACAAAAAATGACAATAATTTAGTTTCTAACAATTTTGCCTGTGGCATCCGTGTCACACAAAGGCACTTGGGCATTGCTTGGACAATGTATGGTTCAACCGCCTTCCGCTGGTCAGGCTTGTTTGGGCTAAAGCTCAAGCAACACAATGGCTTCGCAGCACAGTCTACAGCTTCTTCTGGAGAATATTTTCACCAGTTCCGCATACGAAGACCACTCAAGAGGATATACTCCAGGATCTCCAAAATTTGGGTCGTCACAACAGACGGCAAGATACCAGAATGGTGAGGGTCAAGTATAACGCTTGCGAGTCCAAGCGCTTCGACTCCTCCAACGTCAGCATGCTGAGGTTGGCCAATGGTGACCTTTGTCAACATGCAGAGTTCAGTGATGTGAAGGAGTCAGATTTTCGACCACCCACCCAGGCAGAGTTCAAGAAGATGCAGAATCACTCAAAGTTTACAGAATCCACCATCACTGCATTGAGAGCTTCTGTGCAGGCTTGGTCTTAACAAGCTCTCAGCACGACAACTTTGACCAACCGGTTCCGGTTAATTCCATATTCTTCCTGAAAAAAATATTCAATTCAATTCCAGGACAATTAAAAGGGTTGAAGCTGCTAAAAAAATCACCTTGAACAGGACTTCAGACCAGCTGGAACAGATGCTGAAGATAGGACAGTGGCTTGTGTCGCGGCATTGGAAGCTACTCATTCGTCTGGTTATCATGGACTTTCTGGAATGTGGGCAGGATGCTTGTTGCAACGTGGAAGGTTGTTCCTCCGGCAAGCTGACTCCACGGTTTTCCTGAGCTTGGATTTCAGATCGTATGCAGCGCTGGGATGGAGAATGATAGTCGTTGAAGAAGGAGATGACATCTACTACAAGTGTCCTTCCTTTGCAGAGAGCCAGAAGAATGAAGCGGTGTCCAATTTGCAGTTCATGACACTGCAGCACCTAAGTGGGCTAGATTCTGCCCATGATGATCGGGAGGAGTTTCTGGGTGTTCCACACGAACTGTGCTACTCATTCGCACTTAATTCCACACTACTGCAATTAAATACCTCCAGACCAAACAGATCAGCGGATCAGCATCAGCATTTCAAATTCAAGTCAGGACCCTGACACACCAGCCAAACAAACAAACGCATCTACGGAAAGTAACAAACATCTTATTATCATTATAGGAAAAATGCAGTAAGTGCTAATGCTAATGCTGCCATTTGTTTTTTAAAGTCATTCGACACTGGCAGATTCACTGACATACCAAATTGTCATCACTGTTGTAAGACTGTAACTGTACTACCAAAAAGAAATGAGAAGACATTTGCGGACCTAATTTAATTTTGTGTTTATGCTTTTTGCAGTCTGTCTCAGTCAGGCTATCCGGCCAAACTTCCTCATTGTTTACGACACCATGGGCTGCTTCTCAAGAAAACTGGAGATGCTCAGCGTTTGATTCCTTTTTGGCTTGAAGGTGGATCAATGGCTGGCATCACAGAGGACACCTTGCAAAGCCTCAGGTTTGTGTCTGGGGCTCCGCTGCTCAAGCCAAAAGACAAAGCAAAATTACCCAAGTCAAAGCTGATTGTTTGGAGCATCATCGAGAAAGAGTTCAGCGATTTGGAATTTGAGCAAAAGACATCAATGTGGATTACTTTGACTGGGGATGCCAAAACTACGCTCGAGGCTCCGGCAGCATTGATGAAGGAAGCGCTCAATGCATTGCCTGCAGATGAGCGTGAGTATGACTTCAGGCAATTGAACGATCGCCTGAGTCGGATTCAAATGGAGGAGCGCTGGCGAGAATGCGCTACACGACAAGTTGGGGAACGGAAGGCTGTTGAAAACACGACACCTGCCGTGATCAAGGAACTGTGTCCCGCATACAGAGGCGCTTCGCTGGTGATGGACTTCAACAACGCTGCGTTCGAGGCATATTACCCTGCCGGACGTCCCACCAAATCAGTCTCAATGCAATGGACAGGCAGTCGTGTGGGAGCAAGAAGCCCAATGTCCGCTCTGAGTTACTGCCTGGATTTCCTTTGGGGAAACCATGTTGAGAAAGGACGTGTTCCTTGATTTGCACTTGTTCATTTCTTTGTTCAATAATGATTGAACAGTTGATCAGTGAGTCATGTTGTTGACATGGTCGCATTGAATGGGCAATTGAACACCCTGTCTGTCTCAGGCTGTGGATTCGGACAAACCAGCTCCAGACATTGTGGCTGCAGCGTTGGCAACGGCAATGGATGTGTTCCACAGGAAGGAACAAGGACAGTTACTCTGTGATTTCCATTCAATTTGAGGATGTGGCATGTCATGGTAAGAAATTAAGTTTAAGGAAGCGAGTTGAGTCAGTGAGTCAGCATAAAAGTAATAGACAACAATTGAATTTGAATTACAGCATCCTAAAAAGTTGTTCTACATTATACCCAGGATTGCCACCATCACGTGACGGCGACGGTGACGGTGACGGTAATGATGGCGGTGAAAACGCTGCTGATGATGATGACGACGGCCCAGGCAGCATAAATTATTGCTAATATTGCATTTTCTAGACTGTTTGTGCTGAGACCCACTTTTCAATTTTCCTGACAGACTTGTCAAGTGTGGACTGGAATGACTGTTGCATTGGTACTGTTCTTGACCTGTCAGGCGACGATCAGAATGAGAAGGCTGCTGCTGCAAGTTCCTCTTTTCAGCAGCCCAAGAGACGTGCTCGTGCCAAGGCCAAGGCCAAATGCGCCAAAGACGAAAAGGAAAAGAAACAAAAGAAAGACAAAAAGACAAAAGATAAGAAGACCAAGAAAAAAAATCCAAGAAGAGGAAAGCAAGCTCTTCATCAGAGATCTTGAAAGAAGATCAGAGTTGGGATAGCCTGGAGGATATCTTAAATCAGATGTCCGACTGAATCGCACCGAGCAGCAGTGGAAGGAAAAAACAGTGAGCAGCCTGTCAGGCCCAATTGCATGAACCTTATTTACTATCCATTTATATGTCATTAAACATCTTGAGGACGGTTTCAATGTTGTACAAATAATGGTTTATAATCTTTTGTAATGCATATATATTATCTAAACAATATCTTGACCAGCACCCCCTGGATCAGCATCCCCTAGAGATTGCCTTGACCCTTTCCTTCATCGAACCTAGCTCAGGAGTTCGTGGTCCGTCTAAGTCCATGCTGATCGAGGCACTCCATGATCACCGCAGGCCTCCAGAGAAGAGACAGGTGCAACCGCGTGCGGAGCAGTTCGTTAGTATACTGATATTGACAAACAAGAAATCAAACATGGGTATATCGGCATGTCTTGAATTGAAACTAACATAAGCGATCACGGCGCAACTCTCCAACCAGGTAAGGGGAATGTGGACTGTAGACCTGATCATGTGGTGCTTTGATCCATACAAGTACTGACAAAGCAAGCATTGCCGCCACTGCCGATGCATAGTGCACCCACACCTCCAATAAGCAGGGCTCAAGGCCGTTTCCTAGGCGGCACAGGAGGTAGACATTGATCCCGGCCCAGAAAATATTGGATAAACAAGGTTGCTACTAGCTCCTCCTGGCATTACTACTAGTAACAAGAAGCTACTAGGGGCTCCTGGC